AACAGAGAAGCTTGCCAAATCCAAGTGGGTTTTTTCTGTTTTACAGGTGGTAGCTTAGAGACCTTGGTCTCAGGAAGGAAGGACTCAAGGAATATTTGTTATTGGCTTAACCCATTTCCCGTTTCCCTGAGAATAATCGCCGGTGGCGCTCGCGGCTGCAGCATTTACCCCAAGATAACTCACAGATTACAGTCCTAACCTTACCCCCAAAGTTTGCCACGAAATATCTCTTTTTTTTAATTATTATTTTTGCATCACTCTGGTATATCATTAGTCTTTGGAAACAGATGACATCGTTCTATTTATAGCATTCTATTGTCAGTAGTGGTAGTGCCATTTATAAAATATAGTAATTCTCGATTTCTGAAAAATGTCCAATCCTAGAAAACGTAGCATTCCTATGCAGGATGTTAACATTGTTCTCAAACATGTGTTAGAAGATTCATTAATGAATCCAATTTTTCTGAAATAGACAATTCTGATGATTTTGGGGATAGTGCTTTGGAAGACTATGGTCACGCCTCTGGTCGATTTGGAATCTGGTGGTAATAGGCCTACATTAGCCCTACAGGTCACACTCTGAAGTGGTCAACTCATGATTCCACATCAAAGGTATGACTCCCAGCACACTTGGCAGAAAAGTTGATGTCAGTTATACTACTGACCCACCGCAGTATTTTGAACTTGTTCTTTACTGAGGAATTAGTTTCAAAAATTACTAGCAAAACAAATACCCACATTGCCTTGCTGGCCTCAAAGCCACCTGGTTTGAAAGGATTTTTGTGAATGGTTAAATGGAAAGACTCTGACAATGACAAACAAAGTCTTTTTTGCAATAATGCTACTGCAAAGTATTGTTCAGAAACCTGAGCTAGAGATTTTTTTGGTTGACAAGGCCTCTTTGAGAAGCACCCTATCTCAGGCAAATTATGACTGGTGAAAGATCTTTTTCTTTGGTGCCTGCTAGTCAATCAAAAGCCCAGATGTCATTGCAGAAGATCGATCCTGTGTTTAACTTTCTTGTAAATAAGTTTTCAATGTATATACTCCAAACAGAAACATTACAGTCATTGAATCACTGATGCTTTTCAAGGGGTGGTTAGCTATGAAGCAGTACATCCCGACAAAACAAGCACAGTTTGGTCTCAAGCTATATGTACTTTGTGAAAGTGAATTTGAAAGATTCAGCTGATGGTTTGAAATCGTCACGCATTGTTCTTACCTTGGTCAATGACCTTGGCCAAAGATATTGTGTCTTCCTTGATAATTTTTATACATCTCCCATGCTTTTCAGAGAGTGACATCAAACAGGACTAATGCAGTTGTACAGAAAACATGCCAAATGATCTGAAAAAAAGAACTGCAAATGGATGACTGTAGCCATAATCTGTGATGAACTAAGAAACCATGTGTCGTCGTGGGTTGTAACGAGAATATGGGAGCAATGGATTTGACTGATCCGATGCTCGCTTATCCAACTAAGCACAAAAGGCACAAGTTTTGGTGTAAAATTCTTTTGCCACCTTCCAAACATTACAAAGCTGAACTCCCCACATTCTCTTCAAAGAGGACAGTCCTTAGCACATAGCCATGTAAACTTCAGACTGACATTGATTGAAAGAATGCTGGAAAAGCATCCCGAGCCAGGGCAGCAACGTCTTCAAGACTGTCACACCTCTTCACCTGTCTGGAAGACATTTCCCCAAGAGCATACCACCAACATCAGGGAAACAATCCATCTGGCTGCTGCAAAGTTTGCTGCTCGCACAATGACAGGATGGCAAGAAGATCCCGAGAGAAACTATTTTTGTGCAGAATGATGTTCAGCTTTGTGTTCCATGCTTTGAAATTTAAAAAATAAATAAATACTGATCGTCATATATATTTCTGTTAGGATTAGATACAAGTACTGTTTAGAAATAACTCCAAGGACAGTTTTTATATTTTATTTTCACATTGAAAACCAGATTTGCTTCAGCCTCAAAGACTATGTTTATATAAAATTAACACTGGCATCAAGCTGCACTTTTTTTTTTCTAAATGGAAAATGAGTTAAAACCAATTATGGTAAGGTTTCTCTAGGCCTGGCCATATGTAAGCGGAAATCTGCAGAGTGAGTCTTTTGGAAAGAATTGCCCATTTCTAGTAAAAGGACAAATTCAGCAGATGTGCTTCTTAACCCTTCTTCCTGAAACATGCTCTTGATACACAAGTAAAGCAGCATCCATTTTGACTTTTTTTAACAATGAAACCACAAACAAAAGCCAACCATAAAGTTTGATAATACAGAATAATGTGTGGATGGGTCCCTGATGCATCTTTGAGCAGCTGTCTACTCCCAGACTGCTTAAGAAAAATCCCTTTTAATCTACTCTTAGTTTTCCATTAGTTGTAGCCAAACACATTCCTAACTAAAACAGGTATTCTTTTGATAATTATTTGTGTCTGTCAACTATGCTTTTAAGGCCACAGAGGACCGATAATTGCTCTTGAAAATAGAACAACATTCTGATCTTGAAACTTTTTTTTAAACAAATCAGTTGCTTCCTAGTTTTTTTCTTTAAAAAGTTATGTGAAATGTTTGGTAAAAATGCTTTGAGAATCTAGAGAATTATTGTCATAAATGATCACTGCTCTTCAGTCATCACTTCATTGCTCAACAAACCTTTGTAAAGGGCCAGATGATAAATATTTTAGGCTTTATAAGCATTCCAAATCTCTTATCACAACTATTCACTCCGCCAGCAGGAAAGCAGCCATAGACGATATGTAACTGAATAAGTGTGGCTAAACTTTATTTATGGACACAAATTTGAAATTTATATTATGTATCAAAATACTATTTTAATTTTTTTTCAAACATTTAAAAATGTAAAAATTATTCTTAGCCCATAGGCAGTACAAAAACTTGTAACTAGCCAGATTTGGCCTATGGGCTGTAGTTTACCAACACTTTATCTACTCCAGCTGCTTGTTAGTAGATAAAGGCATAGAAGCCAATAAAAACAAGGTTGCCTGCCTCCTAACTTCACTCACTGTCTGCGCTAACTTGGTATATGCGACAACAGAGACTTTAATGCACTTGAAAGGCGTGTGTTCTAAAAATATAATGGAGCAAAATCTCTGGTAAAATGTGCCCTAAATTTTTGTAAATCTAGATTTTAAAACCAATAATCAGCAATTAGCAAACCTTCAGTAGGCAGATTGATAAAGATGACTTCAGTATTTTGTATACATGTCACCATCTAGTGGTAGAATTATGCTTTGAGTAAAATTATACAATATGTGAAATTTCAAATTTCTCAAGTTTGTAGTGTATTACTAGGTACTTGCCTGGAAACCAGTCCCACATAAACAGCTTTGTAAAATTAGTATTGCCATGGAAATTATTTGTCTTAACATTCTGGTTGTTATTATTGAACATACGATTTTTGTCTCTAGATTTTGAGGTTAAAGGTCTGGTGGTGGTAATATCAGAGGCCAGAGTTCCTGCAGAATTTACTCCTCCATCAAAACTCCCACATTTATCACGGTTTGTGAAACTTAGGGCCATTATTAGAAAGGCAGGATATTTTATCCACAGCACCCAGTTCAGCAAATTGCTGTTTGGTTCAAAAACTGCCAGAGTGATTATTCTTTAAAATTGGATTCTATCACTTCCCTGCTTAAAACCCTTCAATATTTCCTGTTGCATTTAGAATAAACTCTCCCCAGTTTTTAACATTACTCTTATTACATTCCAACCACACTGGTCTGGTTTCTAAAATAAAAACTTCCTGCCCTGGATCTTGGTGCATGTTTTTTCTTCCTAGGACATGCTCTCTATTTTGAAAAGGCTAACCTCTTATCCTAAAGGATTCAACTTAAACATCTCAAAAAATAACTCCCCTCCCCTCTAATATTCTATCAGAGTACTCTTTATTTTCTTAACAGCTTTTACTAGAATCTATATTTCCATGTTTACTTGTATAGGGGACACATTGGACTGCAGGTAAAAAAAAATGTTCAATTAAGAATGGCTTAAACAAATAGAGCTTATTTTTCTCTAGTAACAAATAGGCAGTAGACAGTTCCTGGCCAGTACAGTGGCTCAAGCTCTGTTTTCTTCCCACTCTACCCTCCGTATATTGGCTTGTCACCTCCCAGTTATAAGATAGCTACTACAGCACCAACTTTACAGCAGTCTTCAAAGGCAGGAAGAAGGGAAAGTGATGGTGGCCTGTTTTGGTTTGCATTCTCCCCAAAGCAGGTCCTGAAACACACAAATAGAAATGGTTTGTTTATATCATCCCAAGAAACACTGGTAGGACAGTGGAGCTATGAGACAGGAAATGGGGGTGGAGGGGGTAGGTAACCAATAAAAGATTCATTATCGAGCCCTTTTCTCACTCTGGAGGGTAAGGAACCTAACCCCACAGGGAAACTACAAACCATTATAAAACGTGCCTTAAAATCATCCTACCCAAGGGACAAGGAACCTAGGTATTTACATCTACTATCTTTAGTCACAATTGAGTGTTGGTAGGGGGAAGAGTTGTAAGCAGCAAAGCAGGCTTCCCAAGCACCCAGAGAAAACCTTCAGGCATAGAAAAAGTTGCTAGCAGCTGGAACCCTGACCTCTGCTCTGAAGTGATAACTAGGGGCAGAGCATGGATGGTATCTGGTACAACACCCATCTGCTTTGGATACAGATGTGATGTCTAGAGAAGCAGCAGCCATTCTGAATAAGCCTATAAGCAAAAGCCAAGGCATTGAAGATAGCAGAATGGAAAGAGAAAAGGCTTGGGTCCCTGGTGGCATTGTTGAGAAGCTGGATCAGTGCTAGCAACTGCCTACATGTTGCTATATAAGACATCTGGTTATATAACAAAAATAAAACCCTAAAGTAACTATTTAAGTTATTATAGCTCAATGCAGTTATTTAAAAGTGTGGTAGGCAGAATTGTGCCCCCAAAGATGTCCATGTTCTAATTCCCAGAATCTGGTACCTTAGATGGCAAAAGGGACTTTACGGGTAAGGACCTTGAGATGGGGAAATTATTTTATTCATATGGACTCAATTAATGCAGCTTTAAAATTAGAGAACTTTTCCCAGCTTTGTTCTGAGGGAGCTATGACTACACAAGAATGATCAGAGAAATATAATGTTCCTGGCTCTGAAGACAGACGGAAGGGGCCATGAGCCAAGAAATGTGCTTGGCCTCCAGAAGCTGTAAAAAACAGATTCTGCCCTTCAGCTTACAGAAAATGCAGAACTGCTGACACCTGGATTTAGCCCAGTGAGACCCATATTGGACTACTTATTCATAGAACTGTAAAATAATGTTTGTTAAAGGAAATTTAGTTTTAAGCCACTAAGTGTATGGTAATTTGTTACAGCAGCAATAGAAAACTAATATAAGTAGCATACAGATATAGGGAATAGCATATGCAAAACCCCTGAGACACAAAATTGCTAGGCAGTTTCGAGGAACAGAAGTAAGGCCAGTATAACTAGAACATGGTTATGGAAGAAGGCCTTTTGCAGAACCCGCAAATGTTGCTAAGATTTTGGCCTAGATCCCAAAAGCAACTGAAGTGTGAAAGCAACACAATCCGATTTGTATTTTAAAACAGTTTTGACTAATCTGTAGAAAATGGATTGGAAGTGGAAACAATTGAGGGTTGTTAATATTAATCCACAAAGGTGAAAGCTTAGACTAGGGTAATAGGAAATAAATGAAGAAAAGAGTCCATTCTAAAAATATTTTAAAGGTGAAAAGACAAGAGTTAGTTGATGGTTACGGGGAGAAGAGAAGATGGTATCAGGTTATCTCAAGATTTGTGATTTGTACAACTGGTTAAATAGTGGTGCTATTCACCAAGATAGGGATCACTTAAAGGAGGACAAGGGAGATGGTGTCAATAATGACATACTATTTTACAAGTGCTCAGCGTGAGGTGCCTGTGAGATAACCAAAAAGAGTTGAGCTGATAGATGTTTGAATCTAAAGCTAAGAAGAAAGTTCTGGACTGGAAATGTAAATATGAAAATGATCCTGATTATGCTAGGTTTTTGCTTTATGTGGGGAAAGACAATTGCTACACATTCAGCACTACAAAGTTCCAAACCTGAAGAAAGAGAAAAGTTCCCTCAACTGTTCTCTCATCAGGAAAGCAAAACTCCAGAAAGCCCTACAGCTAACTTACCTTTGGTCTCATTACCCAAAGCACTGTCACATGGCCACTTTTAAGCCTCAAAAAAAGCTTAAAATCCAGTATTTCACTTTACAGCCTCTATGGTAGAATGAAAAGCTAGCTGGCAGTGGGTATTGAGTTTTTTACAGTACCTGCTACAAACAATAAATGAAGCCATGAGATCATACAGGGGCTGGATACTGTAGAGTGAAGAGAAAAGGACCAAAAACAACCTTGAGAGACTCAACACCTAAAATCTTCCTTGTCTGTCACTTAGTGCTTTTCTATAACCTATCTCCATACCTTTACAACACAGGTGAAAGATCTAAAAATGTTATCACCTCCCTGCCACAAAATGATTTTTCTAAGCAATCATGTATTGAGTTCATATTTTTAAAGGATTGTAAAAAGATGCAAAGGTTTTATCTTGGTATGAGGTTAGGTGTGTGTGAGAAAGACTGGATGGAGGGGGTTGTTTTTTTCTCTAAGGACAGTTCAGTGTAATCAGGACTTTAAGTGTTTGTTTCACTCCACGACTTAGAGTGTTTCTGAGTGGCCTCTTAGCACCACATTCATAGAACTCTAAGTTGGAAGAAATATTAAATATCAGATTTGAAGTCCCCTAACTCTTTCAACTGCATTCCACAAAGTAATTTCGAAAAAGTATCCCTTGCAGATTCTTAATTTGGCATTTAACATTTTTCATCATAACCTTAAAGAATTTCAAAAGATATAATTTATAACAGAATACTGACATTTTAAATAAAACTGTTTCATCCCTTTTAAATGTTTCCAAAGAAATCTAAAAACCCTAACAACTTGATACTCAAAATCATCCATTTTCAAAGGTACACCAACAAGCTCTTCATCCTACTTTCCCCACAAAAATTTTACCCTAATGTAATATAGTGCCTAAATATATAACATTCTACAAGACAAAAAACAAGAACATTCTACAAAACCATGATACACAAGTCTTATACTCAAGAAATTTAACAACCATGAAGTTTTAAGTGTTAACATTTCCAATATTAAATTACTCTGAATACACAGTTTATCAAAATAAAAAATATAACAATTTGATAAATTATTAAATATAAAAGTAAAATATCGGTTAGGATTTCACTTAGGGTCACCTTTGGCTTTTGTCACAACTGAGGTTGCAGATTAATTCATTTGCTTTAAAGAAAATATTGGCTATGTTAATGTAATTGGCGAAGGCAGTCCTCACTGTCAATTGAGTCAGCCAAATCAAATCAATAAAATGTCTGACTTCATTTTTCAATTTAAATTAATACATCAATGTATATTTTATAGATTTTGATACTTTGAGGAATATTAACAAAAACTACTGAGAAATACATTTTGGAACACATCTTACAAGGTAGATTATTACTAAATTAGTAAAGTCAGATGACAATTTTTTTCATAAGCCATATGATAAAATGTTTCCTTTATAATAAAAAATATGTGGCCAAATACGTTTATAAGAAAAATGTTATGGTATACCTTCAGTAAATGTATATATTTGCATATATCAAATTCTTATATTGAGTTTTGGGAATTATTAAGAATATATGTAAAAATCAGAAATAAATTTTGTCAGTTCATGATTCAAGCTGTTCCTATGTATTTAATGAAACAAAGAAATATATATTGATTAAAATCAAATTAGTTTGGTAACTAACATAATTTTATTTTTTGTTAATGGAAGTATGAAAGCATTTAATAAGTTGAAATAAGATGAAAATTGAATATAATTTGAATTAAAGATGTTATATGATTTGACAAACAAGCTTTAATTACCTTATTGATTTATATATACCTTACCTGAAAAGAAGTTCCATAAAATATTTAACCTTGATTTTATTTTTTATATCTGGTGATACTCTCAAAATAAAAAAGAATAGCATTGTCTACAGCCATGCCACCCTGAATAAGCCGGATCCCATCTGATCTTGAAAGCTAAGCAGAGTCGGGCCTGGATAGTACTTGGATGGAAGACCACCTAGGAAGACCAGGTGCTGTAGGCGTAAAAAATAAAAAATAAGGGATTGTAAACTGACAAGGTCCTTGAAATCTGTGAAGTCAACCAAGGGTTGCCTCACCTTAAAAAAAAAAAAAAAAAAGAATAGCATCATCACCAGCCAATATACTGCTTCTGCTATTCAAATGTGCTTTTCCTTTAGAAATAATAGAATAGCTGAAAAAAATTGCTTACCTTTAAATACGGGATTGGAGAAGCTATTTTTAGGGTTTGAGGCTTTCTTTGCTTTACTTGTAAGGGTACTCTCTCAAGAGCTATTCATTCCTTGATGATTGTTGGGAATGATAGAGGTAAGTCACTCTGAAGAGCCCTATCTATGTATTATGTGATTATAGGCCAGTGCTTGACTTTTTAACAAAAAAGTTTATATAACAGGGAAAAAGATCCCATAAAAGTATGTGGTGATTTAACTAATCTTAAAGGAGATTTTCCCAAAACCGAAAATTTGAATTGTCCCTTTGCTTCCCGCCACCCTTATTTTTACACATTAATGCCTTATAGTAATAAATACAGAAGTTGACGATCTAGAAATTGATAACTCTAAAGCTATCCATGTTTGTGGTCCTTTGGAAAGTGTTCATATAACCCAGTATGTGTACCCTAATCTGAAAAACCACTGCTCTGAAATCTCTGCATTGTTGCCTAGATGAGGCATAAAGACTCTCCATTCACTGGGTGTGATCCTTAATGTTAGTCCTGAAGTTAAAGACCAGAGGCAGTTCATACCATTTAAAGGATTTTTTGTGTAACTACCACTATGTGACTTTGACCAAATTACTTAATCTCTCCATGCCTTAGTTTCTCTATGAGGGTTAATGATAATACCTCAGAGTTGTAACGATTGCGTAAATACAGATGAGGTGTGTAGAACAATGTCTGACTCAAAATAAGCACAGAATTAAAAATAAGGATTATTTGATAAAGAAAAAAAATGCCTCAGAATTTCTGTTGTCTGGTGTTACTCAGATTATCTGCAGTAATTCTTAAACTTTGGTTCTCTTGAGAATAGTTTGGAGAGCTTTGTTTTTAAAGAAAATACAAAGCATATTCCTTACCTATTCCCCAGAGCTTCTGATTCTGTAGGCCTGGGTTGGGGCCAGAAATCAACTATTTTAACAAGTATTTCAGGTAATTCTGGTACAGGTGGTCCTTGTCCGACCCTATGAGAAACACTATAGTCAGGTTTAATCCCTTTTCTTCAACATACTCCTTTCTATATTTGAAAGCAAGAAGTCTGGTTTCCATTGTGACTTTGTTTTTTGGCCCAGAACATCCAGAGCTCATTTACCTCTTCATCATGTTAATATGGTTTCAGGTCTATTCATGTTCCTAATTGAGAAATTAAGCATTGTCTAAGAATAGCAATGTTTTCATAAAATATGATATCTAGAAATACAGTCTGACAGCAGAGTAGACCATAAAATTATGATCTCTAGTTTTAGACAACATACTTCAAATACTGTAGCCACATACTATTTGGCCATTCTAAACGATACTTAATTAAAATATTTAGGTCTTTTTCATATGTTCTGCTGGTAAGCTAAATCTCTCCTATATATATATTTGTGCAATTTTTTTTTTTTACCTACTTGCAGTATTGTAATAAATTACAATAATTTCTTATTATTGTAAACTCTTTTCTGGTTATAAAAGTAATATTGTTCATTGTAAAAACTACAGAAAAACATAAACTAAATATTGACCAGTATCTCATACTCAGAGGCACTATCATCTTAATACATGTCCTTTCATTCTTTAATAGATATGTAAATCTTTTTTATTAAAACAGGAGTAAAATGTTCAGATGAGACAAGTATTAAATATTTTTCATTGTTAATATGTATAGATACATCATTTTTATTGTCCTTAGTATAGCATTTCATTGTATAGATAGATTCACAATATGTAATTTCATTAAACTGTACTCAGTTGACATTTAAATTCTCATTTTCCCCTCTTAAGTAACACCACAATAAACACACACACACACTTGTGTACTGTTTCATTTATTCTCTTAAAATAAATTCTTAGAAATGAAGTTAGCAATATGACCATCTTTCTCTATATATTGTCCCTTAATTGAAGCCTAAATAAATATTTTCTTCATGTGAGCATAACCAAAGTTTTCTTGTGCTTCCACAGATATGAGACTATTTCTCCGTTTTTTCTGCTTATTCTGTTAGAAGCTTAATATGGATTCCTTCAATCTACTGCTTTCAAAAAGGTTAATATCCAAAAATGTTTCTCATCAACTCATTTGTGTTTGTTGTATGGGGTTGGGTGGATGAATGGAAGCAAAGCAAGCAGAGAATTTTAGTCAATGAACTTAGTAAGATCAAGCTTCTTGAGGTATCTTTTTCTTCCCTGGAGTCAAGGCAAGTTAAACAGGAACCAGAGCAACTGGAAAATTATAACAAAAATCCATATAAACATCCATATAAAGGTAAATTTATGCTTATTGAGTCATCTGATATTTAAATTGTCATAGGCAAATTTTCCCACCACAAATTTGCCTGTATTGACCAGGACATAAGAAATACTAAGATGAAAAATAAAACATAAAACAGCAGTATGTATACAGGAATAAAAAACAAAGTTATGAAGTAGAAAATCCAAAAACAGAACTTGTATATATGACTTTATCATAAAGATGGCTTAAGTCATTTATGAACAACTGCTTAGTCATAGGGAAAAAATGTTTCCTATCTCATATCATTTGCCAAAAATACAGAATTAAAATTGTAAAGATACTAAAAGAAAATATAGGGTAATATGATATAATGTTGAGTTGTAGAAGGCATGACCTGAGAAGTTGAATCCATAAAGATAGATTTGACTACATTAAAACAATTCTGTATACCTAACCACCATAAATAAAATTGCGAAAAAGACATACTGAGTAAGCTAGTCTATCTACGAATACTATCCCACACATACAAATAAATATAAGTACAAAAAAACTAATAGGACAAAAATAGGCTGGCACAAATTGGAAAATTTTTTTAAGTAAAAATTCAACCTTATTAGGTACCGAAAGGAAATTTTAAATAATAATTCCTAGGTAGAAAGAAATCATAAATTATAATACATTATTGGTGAAAATATAAGTGAAATATTGGTGAAAATATTCAGCTTTTTTGGAGAAAAATGGCATTATGTATTCGAATCTTTAATTTTTATATATGCTTCAACCTAATATTTTCATGTTTAGTAATTTAAGAACAATTAGAGAGCTAAGACTTAGTTATAATAATGTACATCAAGGCTTTGTTTAAATAGTAAAATATCAGCAACCATATAAATGTCTAGTAGTAAGGAAATTATTGAGTAAATTATAATGTGTCCAATCAATAGTCACTAAAATAGATGTTGCATAATATTTAATAATCTGGAAATAAGTTATAAGTAATGGCATATAAATTTTAAAAACCAGTATGTACTATATGGTTCTACTCTGTTAAAAAAGACTGGGAAACAATGAATTAACAATGAGTTAACAGTTAACTTTTGTTGGAGAGATTATAGTTAATATCTTTTTACTTACCTGCATTTGACATACTTTCTGCAATGAAGATGTCTTACCATTGTAATTCTAAAACAATAAAAGTTCTTGTTAATACTTAAAGTACACTAATAAAGTACATAGCTCTATCAAGGTTCAATTAGGGGAGCAGAACTACTATGAGTATAATAAACTAATAAATTCATTATAGGAACAAGACTATCCATAAATGTGGGAGGTGGGGGGAAAGCTGTTGACTCTGCATCTGGTGATAGAACTGGGGTCACCGTTAGTCAGCAGGACTAGCAGGTGAGAACTTAAGAGTGCGTTGGAGAGAACAAAGGCAAGCTGCAGTCCCTATCTCTCACCACCTCTAAGCCTTCAGAGAGCAATTGTTGCTCCCTCAATTCCACCATCCAATTCTCACCAACACTTTTTTTGACACTTCAAACTGAGAATGATAAACGTAAGAGTCATGAACACTTTGGGGGTAATTTATAGAGTACTGTCCTTATAATATGTCAAAGGAATATAATTTCTAAGTACTCATTAGAAAGTCTCATCTATGATACTCCAAAATGCTATTTTACAGGAAATATATTTTATTGTTTCTTTGTGTTAATATTGAGAAAATCTGGTGCATACTGTAGGAATTCCATATGGTTCAACCACATATCATCTTTTTCAGTTAGGGCAAGTTAAAGTTATTTAATTTGTGTCAGCGTCTGAATATGTAAAGTGGGAAAAATAATAGAATCCATGTCCTAGAGGACTTGTGAGATTTAAGTGAAATAATACATGTAAAAAAACTTAACCTGATAATTAGCATATTGAAAGTGCTCAATAAATGGTAGTTCTTTCAAGTAATCATAATCTCTAATCTAAATTTGGCATTGTTCCACACCCACATGTGTCTTTATATTATAATATAAAGGACTATATTAATTTAAACCACATAGCATAATTTGTCATATTTTTCAAATGTTAGATGGTATACTACATGTATTTTGCAAATTTTTTTACTCAACATAGTTTAAAAATGTATTATTCATTGATATAACTTAGTTCGCTCATTTTAACTCATGTATGGTATTCCCAAATATGGATATATCACAGTTTGTCAATTCTCCTGTTGGACATTTAGTTTATTTCCAGTTTTTGTTACTAGAAATAATGTTGCAACAAACATTCCTGTACCTGTTTTCTTAAATACACATGCAAAAGAATCTCAGGAATATATACCAAGAATTGGAATTGCTGGATTGAGGATATATACTTCTTCAACTTTTCTAGATATTGCTAAATTGCTCTCCAAAGTAGATGCACTAGTTTACACTCTCAGCAGCAAGCACGAGATTTCCTGTTTCTTCTTCTTCTCACCAAACTTGGTCTTATCATACCTTTTTAATATTTGTGTGAAATGCTATCTCATTGTTTTAAATTGTAGGAAGTTGAGGAACAGATCATTCTAATAGACAAAATTTTCCTTCTGACATCAAAGTATTATTATTAACATTGTATTTGTATTCCTGTTAGATGTTAATATATCCCAGTCCTCCTCCATTAAACTGCATTATGTCTACCTAACAATAGTGGAAAGTATACAAGGGACCAGAAGGCCTGGATTTGCATACTACCTGTCTATTGCTCCTTAATTCTGTCACAATGGGCAAGTGAAAACCTGACCTGCCCAGATTCTTTCATCTGTAAAACAGGGATGACAGCATTTGACTGGATTCTTGAGAGGATTAAATGTAATAACAGGTTATTACTCATCCCTGCAACTACAGCAACCAACAGGACCCAGTACACGATAAGCAGATTATAAACATTTGTAGAATTGAAAACATTTATCCACCAAGCTCTTAAACTTCACCTCCTCAGGAATCCCAGGACTCATAATGCTGCCATAGTGGTCTGGCTACAACCACAAGACCACCAACCCACTCCTGGATTGCAGAGAATGACAGCAACTTGCAGTCCATTTGAGAAGTTCAAGAAATAATATGAAACTATGAATTAGCTTTTGATGTGTGCACACTACTAGATATCAGTAGATTAGAAAGATTCCACCAAAATTAAAATAATAGCAAAGAAATATATGAAAGATGAAATGCACTATTTGAAAAAAATTATCTTTGCAGCTGAGTCAAATAGATGAAGCACTCAATGAAAGTAAGGTAAACTGTATTCTTTATTAGGCTCACTTCTGTACTTGAAAACTTCTCAGATCACTTCAGCCAACAAAATACTTTTTAACAAAAGAGAAATAGGCATTTTCATAAATTGCTTGTAAAGGAAAAAAAAATATACAATCTTTATGGAAGTCAGAAATAATACTCAAAATTAATAAATTTAATTAAAACTCCTTTTTATTCACTAAACTAAAAAATGCATATGAGAAACATTACCAAGTTAAGATACAGATTGCTCATCAAATTATTCTTTTTTAACATTTAATTTTTCAAATTTTAATTTTTCAATTAGTTGACACTCAATATTTTATATTAGTTTCAGGTGTATAGCACAGTGGTTAGACATTTATATAATTTATATAAATTAGTTTAGTACCCACCTGGTTATTACAATATTGTTGACTATATTCCCCATACTGTACTTTACATCTCCATGACTATTTTTGTAACTACCAATTTGTACTTTTTAATCCCTTAACCTTTTTTTCACCCAGCCTCCCAAACTCCTCCCATCTGGCAACCATCAGTTTGGTTTCTATCTATGAATCTCTTTCTGTTTTGTCTATTTGTTTATTTTGTCCTTTAGATTCCATATATTAGTGAGATCATAGGGTATTTGCCTTCTGATTTATTTCACCTAGCATAATATGTGCTAGTCCATCCATGTTGTCACAAATGGTAAGATTTCATTATTTTTATAGCCAAGTAATATTCCATTGCCTATATGTACCACTTTTTTTTTATCCAGTAGTCTATTCATGGGCACTTAGGTTGCTTCCATAAAATTAATGCTACAATAAATATACAGATGCATGTCTTTTCAAATTAGTGTTTTGAATTTCTTTGGATAAATACCCAGAAGTGGGATTGCTGGGTCATATGGTAATTCCATTTTTAATTTTTTGAGGAACCTCCATACTGTTTTCTTGGAAAATTTTTCATGTGCACTTGAAAAGAATGTATATTATGCTGCTTTGAGGCGAAATGCTCTAAAAATGTCAATTAAATCCATCTGGTCTAATGTATCTTTAAGACTGTTTCATTGTTGATTTTCTGTCTGGTAAATCTATCCATTGATCTACCTATTCAAATCATTAAAAATAAAACTAAAGTAAAAACTTAACTATTTAGTAGTAGTAGCAGCTACATGATTAAAAGATAGAGATAAACAAAGATCCTCCTAGAGGGCAGGCTTCCTATTACAATATGAATTGAACTAGCATAAATGCTCAAATGTTTCTCATATGTCACTATAGCCACGAGACCCATTTATCAATGATCATTATGCTATCTTAGAACAATTAGTTTAAACTAATGAGTTTATCGTAGAATTTGTATCATTAATTTTATCACATCACAGCAACTAAGGTTGTATTTCAACCCATATATTTATCCATTAAAATGCCAAAGGCACAAACCCTTTGGTCCAACTATTTTGCTTCTAGAAATTTATCGTTTGTATATACTCACACCTGTGCTATTTTCTTTAGGGTAATAGCAAGAAATTAATACTCACCTCCAGGCCAGATACTATTCTAAATGCTTTAGATATATTACCTCATTTTATCGTCATATGAGGTAGGCACTATTCCCATTTTACAAATGAGGAAATTGAGGTTTAAAGAATTAAATGATTTGCCTAAAGTCAGACACTATTAAATGCTTATGGGTAGGTTACCACACCAAAATGAAGTAAAAGTTAAGGATGGGAATTTTGGCAATCTGGTAGGCCTCTGTTCTGTCAGCAGCTATACAACATACTAGTGAGATGGAACAAAATATGTTGCTCATAATATGTCTATAGTGTATTACTCAGTCATAAGTAAAAATTAATAAACTTATGGGTAGGTATTATTCCCATTTTACACATGAGGAAATTGAGATTTGGAGAGGTTGATTTGCTTAAGGTCACACAACTAATAAGTGCTGAAGCTGGAATTCAAATCCAGGAAGAATGGCTCCAAACTCCTTTAATCACTAGATGGTATTATCTATAAATTCATCATGGTACTATATGGATACATTAATTATGGTATATTCATCCAATGGAATATAATGCAGCCATAGAAAATAATGAGAAGCTCTTTATATACTGATATGGCACAGCATGCAAGATATATAACTAAGTGAAAAAAGCCCAGTATATAATAAGCTCTTGTTTGTAGAAAAAGAAGTCAGAGACCTGAAATTATATACAAAATTTGGAATATATGTGCATTTGAACTGAGGGGAGGGTTGCTAACTTTCATTATATTTTCCCCAAAATGGTTAAGTATCTCTAGGCTATGAAAGAAAATTTAGCCTTACACAAATTATATATACAATAGTTTCCCTTTATCTGTGGAGATACAGACCAACACCCCTAGTGGATGCCTGAAATTGTGGATAGTGCTGAACCCTGTACATATTATGTTTTTCCCTCTACATATGTACCTATGATAAAGTTTAATTAATTAGGCACAGAGATTAAAAACAGTAACTAATAATAAATTAGAATAATTACAACAACATACTAAGTTATGTGAATATAGTGTGTATATGTGTATGTATGTGTCTCACCCTCTCTCAAAATATGTTGTTATACTGTAATCACCTTTTTACTTAAAGGAAGTACTTTATGCCTTCTCTTTGGTGTATCCAAATTGCCAGCATAACCACTCTTGCACCTTGGGGCCATTATTGAGTAAAATAAGGGTTACTTGAACAAAAGCACTGTGATACCATGATGGTTGATCTGATTATCGAGATGTTATTAAGTGACTAATGGGTGAGTAAGGTATACAGCCTGGATACTTTGGGCAAAGGAATGATTCACATTCTAAGTGGGACGAAGAAGAATGGTACAAGATTTCATCATGCTACCCAGTATGGCGCACAATTTAAAACTTATAAATTGTTTATTTGGAATTTTTCATTTAATATTTTCGGACCCCAGTGACAATGGGTAACTGAAACTAAGAAA